AAACCAGTCCTTAGAAGAAAACATAAGATAATGGCCTGATGTTAGTGAATTAATATATTCTTAACTACAGTATCCAATCAATGCATAGACAATGAAAGAAAAAATTAAAACAGATCAATAGGTCAGAACTACACCAAGATATAAAGCTTCTTTGTATCAAAGAATACAGTCAGCAAAGCAAAAATTCAACACGGACATATGGAGGAAATATTCCAACTCATATATCTGATAAGGAGTTAATATCCCCAGTACATAAAGAACTCCTAAAGAGCAACAACAACAAAATGGACTATCCGATTAAAAAAAGGGGGGGGGGTTTGGATAGATTATCTCCAAAGAGAATCACACCAAAAGATGATCAAGGCTCAAATGAACTATCACTTCCCACCCATTAAAACAAAACAAATGTTGACAAATTAAGGAAATACAGGAATTGTGTGCCTTCCTTGTATGGAATGTAAAATTAGTGCAGATATTGCAGAAAGCATTAAGGTAGTTCCTTAAAGAATTAAAGATCAGATTATAATATGATCCAGAAATTTCAGTATAGACTCAAAGACTAAAATAAGATCTTACCATGTGCTCTGGCCCTATGACAGAGAAATCATTCTGGAACTGAGCTGGAAGCTTCCTCTGCCCTGGCTAGCCCTCAGATTGCTGGAAAGTGCTATGCAGGTGCTGGGAGAGAATTCACATTAGTAAAGTTCACTCTGCTACCCATCTATGAACCCTTCAGTGCAATAACAACTACTGGCCAGGCAAGATACACACACAAGTGCCATAATGGCAAGTCTGTTAGGAGAGTAACCAACACCCTTTCTGATTGGATTTGAAGCCTGCTGCACAGGAGGTAATTCATATCTGGTGCTATAAACCCAGCCAAAAGCCTATAGCTGGGAAGGTCACAGTCCCTTGTGAGGAGGCTACTGCTGTTGCTTTGCTAACTGGGCATGACATGACTGTCAAACTGCCCTCTGTGTTTATGACAGTAGATTAGTGTTGTCAGCTTCAATCAGAAACGCTTCTTCTTGTAGTGGCTAGCAGTAACTTCAGAGACCCACAACTGTTCAAGTGTTTCCAGTAACTAACTGCTGAATGCTCAGCTATAAATGGGGCATCCTATTACCCTACCCCCTCTCCCTGCTGTCCATGCTCACACAAAACTCTGGACATATCACAAAAGAGCTGGGAAGAATGTAAGCTGACAGAAGTGGTGTACGGTGTGGAATGCTGGCTACCAGGCATTGCATGGCTGTTGTACTCTTGAACTTACAGATGCAGCACAAGGCCTGCACAACAGGCCTGCTTAAGTCCTGCCACGGAACAGAGAAATTCCCGAGGCCCTTTCCATCTCTGAGAATTTATACATTGTTAATGTCTGATGGGGAAATGCTTTCTTCAATTGTATAACCACTGGTAAGGTGTCCATGCTACTTTAAACAAACCTTCCTCATTTTCCTACAGCAATAGCCATAATGAAATTAATTGAGTCATAAGACAGAGATGAAATACAAGTGGGGGGGGCTAGTTGAGAAAAAGGGGACCAGAGGAAGTAAAAGGGAAACAAGAAGGTAAGAATAAATAGGATCAAAATACATTGTGTACATGTATGAAAATGTCTGAAACCCATTATTGTATATAATTGATAAGTGCTAATAAGATATTAAAAAGCACCCTCTCAAAGAGCATTTGCACCCATGTTCATAGTAGAATTACCACAGTGCAAACACAGGAGAAACCCAAATTATCTGTTGACAGATGAAAGCATAGGTGAAATGTAATACATAAAATGGGGTGTTATTCAGCCTTTCAAAAACACAACAGGATATTTTGGTATATATACTACATAAACCTTTGATGACATAATGATAAGTGAAATAAGCCAGTTGGAAAACACAAAGACTAACAATTTAACTTCTATGAGCCACTTAATTAGTCAAACTCATAGAAAACAGAAGGCTAGTGGACAGAGTATGGGAGGAAAAGGAACTAGAGAGCTTTCATTTAATGGGTGCAGAACTTCAGCTTTACAAGATGAAAAGAGCGGTGGTGTTAGTCCTATAACACTGTGGATATATTTAATACCTCTGAACAACACAGCTCAAAATGGCTTCAATGATATATGAACTTCACACTCACTGCAAGTAATACATTTAAAATCAAAAATAAGTTTTTAATATGTTAAGATAAATAGAAACCCTTGCATGTAAAAGTAACATTTCAACCTAATAATGGGGGTTGGGGTCTTATTTTACTATGGTAAATAACTGAAAATAACACAAACCCTTTTATGAACAAAGTCTAATTATATTCAAAAATGTTTTTATATTATCTCTCTACTCATTACTTTTTTGAGAGTACTTATATAACTTTTGCCATCTGAAAAAGAATTAAAAATAGTTTTGAGGGACACACACACACATGCACACACACACACACTTTTGAATCTCTGATTCCATAGCTCCCTGAGTTCCCTGATCTGTGCAACACAAATACTGAATTAAGTTATTAGTCAAAATTTATGGGCTATGGGCTGGTGAGACGGCTTAACAGATACAGGCACTTACCACCACCTGATGATACGCGTTTGATATCTGGGACTTAGATGGTAAAGAGAATGACCTCCTAAAGGCTGTCATCTGGCCTCCATGCATACACCATGGCATGTATACCCACCCCCTCCAAATAAATCAATGTAATTAAAAATCTGGGTTCTAAATAAGCTACTTCTTCCCATTATATTATTACTATTTACCTTATTTACTTCTTATGTTAATGAAAAGCTTGTCAGTGTGGTATGTGAGAAACATGATGGGTAAAAGCTGATATGAATGAAAATGTATGAGTCAATCACCATAACTACTATTATATAAGGACCACCATCTCCAGTGATTAGGATGAGAGGGAGCACTGCTAAGGACATATTACATTCAGGTAAGTTACACATGAGAGCTTAGTGTCACTTTGAGACTATGGTATATAATAGTCACTTAGAAAGTTAGGGTTAGCCAATCTCTGAAGTGCAATCTGACAGAAGCCTGAAATTATCTTGGCTTCCACATTCTAAAAATGTCTATAATCTTCCAAAACCACATACTACTACACTTAGACTACAACACAGAAAGCTCTTTCCCCCACTGAAGTGCAGCTGTGAGAACAGATTCCTAAGAGAAATGAGGACTGGTTTCTAGTGACGTTGGAGACTGATTTCTGGGGGAAATTTCTGATTTGAGCTGCCCTTCTCAGAGAAAGGAAAATCTGGGTGACCTTATTCCAGTCATTTCAATAGGTGAAGACGTATCTTCCTCTGGAGGTGAAGCAGCAAAGGGGCCTGAGGTAACTTCAACAATTATGCTATTGACATCCATGGCAGAAGTTACACTCTGAGACCGGAGTTGTTCGATGGTACTGAGTCTCTGAGACCTGTGATGAAGGGCATCTTCCGAATCCTTAAGTAGTTGGCCATGCTCTCGGCCATCAGCAACTGCTATATTTGCTTGACTGGAGGAAGAAAGAACAGTTGGAAGAGAAAAGCGGGATGCCTTTAGGCTTGGGTAAGATGTTCTCTCAACAGTCCAATGACCTGGAGAAACGGCTTTTGTTTCCAAATTTGGAAAGCATTTACTGCCACGTTCGGAATCAGAGAAGCTTATACGTTTTTGAGCATCAGTACTAGTTGACTTTTTAGGAAAGCTTTGAATGTTCTTTTCAGGAGACAGGTTCACACTACCTTGTGGAGGATCACATAGAATGCTACTCCTGTAACAGGAAACTACACTTAACTTGCGGGATGAAAGATACCGTGGAGAGCTAACGGCAGTAAAGTAACCTGAAGATCTTGTGGCATTGGAAGCTATGTCTTCCTGAGAATCAAAGTTAACTCTACTCGGCTGTCTCCATCTCCTTTGAAGTCTTGTCAGTAAGGTGTGTGCTCCTCCAGAGCGAAATAAGTGATTAGATGTACTCGAGGAACAAGAGGATTTTCTACTTATCTTACATGTTGAAGAAGGACGGCATGTTATGAAACCCAGAGCTACTTTTGGTTGTAAAATACAAGAGGATCCATGATGCTTGTGCTGTGGAGTAACTAGATCTTCAGGATAATTTTGTTGGGAGCTCGGGTCCTTTTTCCAGCAGCTAGAGTGAAAAAAAGGCCACATGAGGAAGAAAAGGCAAACAGGTAGCTGAATGCAGATCTATCAAGCTTCCTGAAGAATAATTTCTACCATACCAACGGGGAACAACAACTAATTAGATACACTAAAAAGAATGAGTAGATAGGTAGTTCCCTACAAGAGATTGCCCCTCTGTTAAAGCTTAGGGGTAGGGAGAGTGAAGGACTTGGGGAAGTAGGCAGAAGGAAAGAAAAATGAAGGTTAACATAAAATGGCATCATGCATAAGTCCCCAGAGAGTTAGAGCTTCTCTATCTCCTATTAAAGTACCATATTTAAGGGAATTAGCTAAAATAAACCCATATCCCATTGACTAGTTTCATTTTAACATATCTGTCATGGAAGAAGCAAAAATCTTTCCAGGGTTTGAGGATGCCTCAGCTAAACACATAGGTCTCCAGTTGCTGTGGGAACCCAGCAGCAGCACTACCCAAGGTTTCTGGATACTTTCAATGTTCTTCAGCACACAAAACATGAAACACATGAAGTGTTTTTTTGTTTTATTTTTCTTTGTCTTTAAGGCATACCTTAAGCATTTTCCCATACTGAATTTAATCCAAAGCAAGTCTTTTCCCTTCTAGGCCATCATTCATAAGACGTAAAATGCCCTGTGTAGGTGGAACAGGTCAGAAAACTGAATACTTAAACTGCATATGGGACTACCATGGCAACAACACAGTCTGTGATGGCAGGGGACTCTAGAACCTAATGACAGAGGTGTCAGAGGACTGAATACTGAGGTTCCCCAATGGCAAGGACACAGAAGGTGATGGCAGGAGACGCTGGAACATAATGACACTAATTCAGAATAAGACTGCCTTGTGGCTTCCTTTCTGAAGAGCTGAAGTTTCTATGACTATGGAATGTGTATTCCGATGTCATTACATTCAAGGAGTCAGCTGACAAATCAGGAGGTAAAAATGTAGTTGAGGGAAGGCGATAACATACAATTTCTGCACAGTTCTTTCCTTGGGACAGCCTCTCACCAGCAATCCTATACATCCTTGGTCTCCCAGTCGTTCCTTCTTTCACTTGAATATTCTTTGTCCAACGTCTTTACATCCAGTGAAGTGATAAGGTGACTCCTAAACATTTGTACTGATGATACACAAAACGGGAAACAGACGTTTAAAAAGTAGCAAATGTCTATCCACAATGGCAGGGGAGCATCCCACTCTGATGTCTGGTCCACAGGCACAGACGAAGGAGATCTGCTATGTTTCCTGTCCGTTGAACAACTTATACCCATTAACAGTAAGTTTAGCAGAGTTACAAGAAAAGAGCTCTTTCCTCATCTCAGTTTAGAGAATTGTCTCTAAAGCGTGTGGCTATTCTCCACAAACACTATTATTTGCTGCACAATGTCCTGCTATACTCTAACACCACCTTTAGTCACTGTTCCCTACTTAAGACTCTGCTCCAGCGAACCCTTCAACAGATTCCTTACAAGAGACCTACAGTTCTCAGTTTCCAACACATCACTGTCAGTCCTGTGATGTGATTATATTCTACATGCAGTCAAATTTGTTAACCTCTTCCAGAAGACATGGAATTCTCAGGTCAGCAACAAGAGACATTATACTCATGACACAGCAAGCATCTTGGGGCTGGCCTTTCTTGGCCCACTGCCCAAGGACATTACAGAGGGCTCCAAGACGCCTGCTTGTATTTGCCACAGATTATGCTACAGGAAGGAAACATAGCTCAAGTCATCCACCATCTTTAACCTACTTGCCACCTGGTTTAGTAAAGACTTTTTTTGAGTCACAACCATAATCATGTTGTCTGCAGTTACTTTCGCGCTCCAGTAGCAGAGCTTGGGGGATGAGCAGACCCTTTATGTCTTCAATTCCTAAAATCTTTGCAGAAAAAAAAATCCCACCCCTATTTTATATGGTTAATCCTTTCCTTCATGGTGCTTGGGATCCAACCCAGGGCCTTGCAATGGCTAGGCAGGTGCTTCACTAATGCTAAGCTGCACCCCCAGGGCCCTTCCCTTCTAACCAACAAAAAATGCTATTTTACCAAATTCACTGTGGATTAGACAGGGAGCAAAGCACCTGCCTGCATCACCTCAACTAACGCTAAAAACAAGACACATATACATTATTAACCACATTTTAGTTAAAGCCATTTCACTTGTTATGGTTCTGGGGACTGAACACAGGTTGTCAGGCTTGTGTGGCAAAGGCTCTTACCTCTGAGCCATCTCACTAGCCTCAGCTATATTTTGAGAAAAGAATTCAGGTTTGGGGAACTGATGCCATCTCTGTGGTCAAAGCTGAACCAGGATGCATACTTGTGTTGGGATGACGAAAGCTCGGGGTCATTGCTGCTCTGGAAACCTCAGTCTTCCTCAGCTTCTCTGCCCTCTGCCTTGTTCTGGGCTGGGGTTGTTTGCTTTTATTCTCCACGCTCAAACATACTTGTTTGACCAGTTTCCAGTGTCCTTTACAGGCTCATTTGCTGCCACCACTCCAGTAGTACTGGCTCCAGAAGGCTACGTACACTACCCTCTCCTCTCTGCCCACACTACAGTTACTTGAGCAACAACACCTATTCCTACAGAATCTGGCCTCTGAAAGCATCCCAGTGGGATGTCAACAGTGGAATACCATCTCAGTTCTGTGGCAGTCTCCTTTCACAGCTGCAGGTGAGTAAGCGCTCCCACGGACAGTGGCTTCAGCCCCTCAGCATGTCCTTGTCCTTGTCCTTGAAAGGTTTTGTGTGGTTCTTCACATTTGGGGCTCCGGTTAAAATGACTCAGAGTGTTCCTTTAACATCCTGCTTCATCTTAAAGAAAAGTGGCTGCACTGCCAGACTTTTGTCCTTGCCTGTGCCCCCAAGAGTTCAGACAGTGCCTGGTACAGTCAGTGAATAAGAGGGACTCCAGCTATATTCTCATTCTTTCTTTCTAGCCCCTCCCCTTCCCTCGCTCTCCCGTCCCCCTCATGAAAGTGAAGATCTATTTGCAAACATATTATGAGAATATGTTCAACTTTACTAATGTTCAGGGAAATAGAAATCTGAAAATTATTAAACATTTCATCTTCATAAATTTTTTCTAAAATTTTGAAGTCTGACACTATACAAGTATTAATATGGAACAATAAGCATTCTTATACAGCCAGGTTTACGAACCAGGAGTACTTTAAAGACTTATTAATATTCATGTAAGACTTACTAACATGCACTAAAGACCTATTAATATACATATAAGCAATACATGCAGTCTCTAGGTCAGCACTTCAAACACGTGTTTTATAGAACGCCTTCCACATATGCCTAAGGAATTATGAGGGCATTCCCAAAGCATTGTTTATAGGAGCAAACAAGTGGTGATCTAAAAATTCACTAATAACACATACTTATATCCTGCTGTGGGATATTTTAATCGTACCCTGAAACTCCTGAAACTTCCAATAAAGTTTGTTTCCCTTGAATCAGAGGGTGGAGCTAGCTACTAGCTGATCAGACTTAGCCATAGAGGTTTTGGAGGACCCCAGGACACATAGAGAGACACAGGAAGTAGTAGGGGGGCTTAGAAAGATTTGTGGGCCTTTTGGGAACAAGGAAGGAGAAAGACGGGCCACTGGTTGCTTCTCCAGTTTCTCTGATCATATTTTTACTCTGATAATAGAATAATATAAGTAATTGCTTCAATATTCCATCAGTGGGATGCATTACCACATATTTACATGTATCAGCATGGCAAAGCCTCAAAACAGAAAAAAAGTACTAAAGCAAAAACATCTACAAAAACAATGCATCACATAATGCCATTTTTGTAAAACTTAGGAACAAAGCACCACTTCTACATACATGCAGAAGAAACCCTGACACTGTCAAGGGTTGCATGCACATTAAGGTAACGGCTGTCTCCTAAAGAAAAGATTTCAATTGCAATGTTGAATTTTGAATAGATCTAGAAAAAAATCATTTTGTAACTTTGAGGGCTACAAGATCACTATAATCAATGTCTGAGTCTTTGGAACCCTAGACCTGGATTTCAACAGAGGGAATTAAGTGTAAGACTAGAAATGACAAAAACAACAGCAAACCAACAACCCCCCGGGGCAAGGCCTGTGTTTCCGCTCACAGAGTTGAATGGTCTCCCAGGAGACCCCACAAGTGGGGACCCCAGCTGCCTCACTCTCTCCATCTCTGCTACCGGAGTTAGCACCATCTCACGGGCAAATGCTTTGGACTTGACTGGTTTCTCCCGGGGCCTCTGCAATGCTTGTGGTGGCTACAGAGTGAGTGGCGGGAAGCTGGTTGAGATCAAGCAAGTTCCAAAGGAGAGAGAAGGCCGAGGGAGATGGTTTGCTTACAGATATTTATCTACAAAAACATGACTCATCTTTTTGTATCTCATTCAAAAAATAATTTAAATGTTTGCTTAAAAAATTTTTAAAGTAGTGTTAAATAGGAAAGTTTTCTTCCTGTTTATTCGGTTTAGTGGCATTTTCTATAGCCTAGTCTGTCAGTAGGACTGTATTGTACCTACCCTTGTATGTTACTGTTAACAAAAACACCCATGACCAAGCAGGAGGAGGTACCATGTCTTAAAGCTTGGATACTTCCATATTGGTTATGTCATTCATAGTTTTCACAAATCTTCCTTGAACCCACATTCACTAAATACTTATCCCAATATTTGGAGTTTAATTAAATCTTGTAATTATTTTCTTTTTATTTGTCTTAAACTGAACAAGGGCTGCTTCTCTTTCTAGAATTTTAGACTTTCCTGAGCAAGTAGGCTTAAATTCACCGAGACAGGGTTTTAAGAATACAGGCCACTCACTTAGCCTGTACTTCTACAGGCTTCCGGGTCCCCTCCCCGTCTCTGGCTCCAATGTGTCCTGTCTGTGAAGGGACTGCGCAAACCTCACCCGACATTCCTGATGAAAGATGTCCATGCAAGCAGCATAACCACAGGCTGGTCTTCTGTACCTCTTGGTGATGCCCCATAATATGGTAGATTTCTGATCACGATTGGATTACTTAGCTGCTCTTACCCATTCTCATGGAAATTCCCATGTCTCTCTTCCAATTCACACTTTCCAGTGTACCTCAGATGCTTTCTAAACACCCCACTTTCTCATATTAAGACTAGTCTAGGACATTTTGTTACTGCTCAGAAATACCAAGTTCTTAGACCTGATCATTTCCTCTGGCATTGGTGGCTGTTCCCTACCAAAAGAACTTCATAGTCAAAAAAGATGCTTGGCAATTCTGGACCCAGCACTGATGTCTAAGACTTGACTATTATGTTTGTCTTCAGATGCCGCCTTCCAATTCCACAGAAAGTGTGCAGCCCTCTCACTCAGCTAAGACATTCTACTGGTACCCACTCTATGAAAGCACAGAGGTAAAGTGTCATGAAGACAAGGTCTCCCCGGCCCCCAATCAAGGATGCCAGGAGCTATCACATTCAGTACAGATCCTTAAAAAACAAACAGACAGAAACCTGGCTATTTTGTTCTTCAAAAACACTACCCATGGCCAATGCTTTAAATTCATAGATTATTGGTTTCCCAGCTATGGGAACACTTGCTCTTAGTGCTAGGATTAAGGATATTAATGCATATAGGGATGAAACAGAATCACTTATGTATCCTCTAAGTTTTCTAGACCTGCAATAAAATTCAGTAGCCATTAGTTCCAAGTGGTACATTTAATTACATGAAATAAAATTATAATTAAATGAGTTAAAATTATAAGTTCCTTTCCTCAGCTGTACCAGTCCACATTTTGAGTTCTTAAGAGTCACATATGACTAGTGGTACTCTGCTGGGCAGCACTGATACAGTCAGCTTCTAGCATCCCAGGGAGTTCTACTGAACCACATTGGCCTAGGGAGTTTGTATAGAAAAGCCACACAGTAATAACATTATAAAATAGCTTATCCATCCTGGCAAATAATGATTGTCTTTCCTCACTCTTACATGATGACACTTACTACTGGTTATTTTTAATAACCACATTAGAAAACAAACTATCTATTCTGGAAAATAATGATGATCTTCCTTAACTCTAACAGGATGATGTCGTTTTCTTTCTTTCTATCTATCTATCTATCTATCTATCTATCTATCTATCTATCTATCTATCTACCTATCTATCCATCCATCCAGCCCTTAAGCCAATGTGATCTAAGCTATCTAAAATATCAATAATATTTAACATTTTAAATTATAATCTAAAGCAAAACAATCATAGCTTTTCATTTCCATTCTGAGCAGAGCATACAAGTGAGCAGCCACCCACATAACAGCAATAACATGAAAAGTAATCAGTTGGATGCGAAACATCAAGGACACTTACCCTCCTTCACTTTCTGCTTCCTCTGAACTATTACTTGTCGCTGCACTTTGAGTTGTTGTCAGCCTTTTTTTCCTAGTTCTGTGTTGAGGACTGATCTTATGCACTGTTACCTTTCCTCCAAGTTCATCTTGTAGATATTCCTCCAGCTTTGGAATCATTTCTCTCAGAAATTTGATTTCCTCCTTAAGTTCTTCCATGTTGGTCAGTAATTCATTTAACTTTTCCAGGATCTGAAGTTGCCTTCTTTGAAAGACCACTGATGCTCCTTGTTCATTATATGTTTCACCTTGCAAAGTTAGTGAGTCGAATTTCTTACCCAGGGAAAGAAATTTAGGCAAATTCATTGTTGTCCTTGATTTACAGACCTTGTGGTACCATAAGGCCAGCAAGCTGATTCCAGCAGTTCCCACCATGACACCAAGGATCAACTCTTTGTTTGTGGAAGCAGGCATTTCTTGGCTTTTAATTTCTAAAATTAAAAAAGGAAAAAATGTAAATGAACAATGTTTCTCTGTCCAGGATAAAAATACTGATGCTTTTTCAATCAATAAAAGACAAGCCTTTGTCATCAAAAACTCTTACAAAGCATAAGCTACACTATACTATGAGCAAGTGACTCTTTAACTCAAGAGAATCATTTGTTTAAGGTGATGACTCATGTCTAGTGTAAAATACCGACTTTAATTCTGAATTTACACTTTCTTCAATCAATCTGAAGTTTACCCCTTAATTATACTTCAAAGGGTAAGTAGAAGCAAAAGTATCATCAGCTTGAGGGAAGTATTTAAGAGTTCAAGTTGTCCAGCTGGGCGGTGGTGGTGCACGCCTTTAATCCCAGCGCTTGGTAGGCAGAGGCAGAGGGATCTCTGAGAGTGAGACTTCCCTGGACAGCCAAGGCTACACAGAGAAACCCTGTCTCAAAACACACACACACACACACACACACACACACACACACACACACACATATATATGAGAGAGAGAGAGAGAGAGAGAGAGAGAGAGAGAGAGAGAGAGAGAGAGAGAGAGAGTGAGAGATCATTTTCTCTGCAATTAACATGCTGGATTTCTTGGTCCTGGCTCATCATTAAAGGGAGAGGAGGCTCTTTTTAGCATCTTGCTGACATTGGGACTTAATGTTGCAGTGATTAATGATGGTTCAGGGCTTGCAGATATAAAATATAAACAGCAGCTTTAATAAGTTTATAACTCACCTCATCTCATTTCATTCAACATAGAAAGACAACAAGACGTGTTGGTTTCATCTTTCTTCTGAGCCAGAATTTCTTTGCTTCTTACATCTCCACTTATATCTGAGATATTAACGCTTTTTATTTTGTATTTTCACTTTTTAAAAATAACTTTTAAAAGCCACTTCTTTGACTCTACTTTTTCCTCACCTTTCATTCACTATTTTTTTTTGAAGGCACAAAATATAGCCTACCTCATCCATATCAACTCAGCTACTCTTGTGACATGTACCAAAATTTATCTTTACCAAATTTCATCTTTCCTAATACCAATGCTTATCTAAAGTCAGAAAATGACTGAATGAAAACATTGGTATAAACCCCCCCCTTTGAGATAGTGAAACAGAAATAAGTAGATTGATACTGCAATAGTTTTTGTAACTGCACATACTGAAACTTCAAAAATATACTTACAAGTTCCCAAACTTGATTTTACCTCCATTTTCTCTCGCAGACATCTATTTGTGTTAAAGTTTGCTAACAACTTGGGAGAAATAGTTGTAAGCTATCCATGTTAGGATAGATTACTAAAGCACTGCTAACTATAACCCTGACCAAACAGAAAGAAAGAAATCCTGTAGGAACTCCTGGATTCCAGCTGGAAGTAACTTCTGGACAATGGGAAAAGAAAAAAAAATAAGAAAGAAAGAAAGAAAATCAAACAACTAGGCAGTTTCACTGAACGGAATGAATAACTCTTGGGTTCATAGAAGCTAAAATATCTAGACTTTATGTGCCAGAGTATAGAGGATAAGGGAAGTACATGCAGAAAACAGACAGTTAAACTCCAGGGAATCACAACTTCCGGGAAGCTCTAGATTAAATTGGTCCTAAAGACTACATGGAAGTGATTGATTAACGTTCCAGTTGCAAGAAGGCTTGCAGACCACGTGCGGCTTTCAGCAGAGGCCACAGGGGCCATGTGTGGGTGGGAAGGTGAGAGGGACCGTAGAGTTAAAGCTGTTTAGGCTCCCTCCAAAATAGATTAAAAATAAAGTACTTTTCATTTTTAATAAAGTATTAAATTGATTCATAAGTGATTTAACTGGCATGAAGATAAAAGTCTCTAATCCTGTAAATAGACAGAAAAAAAATGCAGAATTCAACAACATACAACTAGACTGTCCAACACATAGCAGCAAATTTGCAGACATGAACAGAAGCAGGAGAATGTCAGAGGTGGTGTAATTGGCAAACAGAGGTCTTAGAACAATTATTTACAATATTAGTAATTTATTATAAATTAATAAGATTGCCATGTTGTAAGTGTACAAATACATTTACGGTAAAGATACACACAACAAGGAGAGAGAGAAAAAAAGCTTTAAGTCAGACTATTTGGAATTTCCAGGAATGAAAAATACAAAATCTCTGAAAAAAAAAGTTCCATGAAATGAAACTGACAGTGAAAAAGACACCCTGAAACAACAAAAATCAGTACGCTTGAAGACAGAGCAATGAAGACATCCCTAAATGAGGCCCAAAGAGGAGAAGCAGAGAAGCAGCCAGTGGGCGTCCTGAACAGTCTAAGACTGACAACCATAGGAGGGAAATAGGTGAACAAATGGTGGGGGATGCCCTTCTGGGTATGTTTGTCTTATTGGTTGATGAATAAAACACTGTGGCCAACAGAGCAGAGAGATAGGCCAGACTAGGAGGTGAGGAGGATTCTGGGAAACGTAGGCGGAGTCAGTCAACATGTGAGATCAGGAAGAGAGGACATGAGTCAGGTGTTCTCCGATAACCAAAGACCACATGGAAATACATAGATTAATAGTAATGGGCTAGTGACTAGGACAGAGCTAGCCAATAAGAAGCCCTAGCCACTGGCCAACAATTTCATAATTAATGTAAGTCTGTGTGTGTTTATCTGGGGCTGAGAAAGGCGGCTGGGACTTGCCGAGACAAGAACCTCTCATAACTTAATCAAGCAGAATAAGAAAAAAAACCAAGGTATACTATTATTATTCCAATAAAAATCAGAGGGGAAGCTGGGAGGTGGTGGCACAAGCCTTTAATCCAAGCATTCTCTGTGAGTTTGAGGCCAGCCTGGTCTAAAGAGTGAGTTCCAGGACAGCCAGTGTTACACAGAGAAACCCTGTCTGGAAAAACCAAAAGAAAAAGAATAAGAAGAAAAAATCAGAGGGGAAGACAGCCAGAAGAAGGGAGGAGTGGAAAGGGGAGAAGGAGAAGGGTTACCATTGCTTGTGTCCTCAGGAGCCATTGAAACAAGAAAATGATGAAATGACATCTCTAAAATGCTTAGGTGAGGACACCCCTACCAACCGAAATTTCAATAGTCAGTTAAATGTCTTTCAACACACAGGTAGAAAGAGGTGGGGCTTTTGTTTTGTTGTTGTTTTTTAAAGTCGGAGACTATTATCTCCAGGTGACAAGTGCTAAAAGAAACACTAAGCTAGTTCTTCAAGCATAAACAAGACAGACGCAGTTTATGTGCACAGAGGACGTCACATATCAGCAGTGGCAAATGTGGGCAAACATAAAAGTTTTCTCATCCTAATATTTACTTATAAAATAGTTTCTATTAAAGTCAAAGTGACAACAACGCATCGTAGGTTTGTAACAGACTGAGGAAGTAAGAAGCAGGACAATAGTCCTTAGTATGGGAAAGTCCAAAGTCTGGGACAGAAAACCAAAAAGATAGAGAAACCTGTGTGTGTGTGTGTGTATGTGTGTGTGTGTGTGTGTTGTGAGGGGGATAAAAACAATACTAAAGACATTCACTTAGTCCAAAGGAAGGCATACTGGCCTAAGAGATGGGTAGAAAAAAATGAGAAAGAATGCCAGTTAGAGAAATGTTGGCAAAAGGTCAAGAATAACTTTATTTTCCAATATGAAAGATCCAGTTAAAAAGTGAAGTTGGTGAAGTAGTAGAAAATTGTACAACTACAAACAAGAAGGCAAAGGAGATGGTCTCTAGTGCATTAGCACAAGGTTGATCTTTCATGGGAACACAAACCACTCATTATAGTAACAAAAGACAGATTGCATTAGCAGAAATTCAGGTTAAACAGGTAGATGTAGGAGTTTATGAAAGTTCTCTTTAATTGCTTCTTGTCCAAAGCAGCCAGGCATGAAAGCCAGGGCAAAAATACTAGAGACATCAATCCTGAGTTAGGTTGTATACCTGAAATCTTGTATCCTATAACTAGAACCCTATTATTCTACATACCATAGCAAGGTACTATTGTTACCTGTATACTACATGGCCAATTAGACATAATGCTTTAACAGATCTATGGGAAATGGCCTATGGAAGGGGGAGGGGATCAGCAGGAGTCTATTTCCAAGAAGCTGCTTAAAAGAATGTTTCTTTTTACATTCCTAGTATTGTTTGTTCTGTTTTTCACTGATTAAGAAAAAAATCCTAGGGCTGGGGGGCAGTTCAATAGTACAGCTCTTAGCATACATGAGGTCCAGTATCAGATCCCCAACAACACTCATTCTCTGTCCCTCCCCGCACCCCGCCCACACACACTAAGCACGTTCCTGTGCCCGTCTTACAGTCCAGCACAAGGAATTCTCCTATGCTGACTTAGTTCTTCAGCAAGGCCCTGCCAGGCCAGCCTTGAACTTTACATTATGAAATACATGCATCTGAAAGCCTTTTCATTTAACAAGTAAATAAACAGAAGTGAAAGTCTGAGAAGAGAAAGACGTTATCCCCACAACAGAGCCAGGTTTAAAAACACGAGAAACAGTCAAACTTTTACCTTTCTTTAGGTACTACTCGGGTTCCAAATTATCTCTTCAGGTTCCAAATTATCTCTTTGAAGGAGTTCAAAACAATAACGCCATTATTATTTTTCAGACAAACTGCTGTCATTTACCCAGAGGGTTTTCTGATTATAGAAGTGAGAAAGGTTACTACCACTGTTTCCTAAATCCTAGGGACATCTAGCTGCATGCAGAATCAGAAAGCATCAAGCAAGGACAAGCAGGAGAACGCTGACGGAAGCAGAGATGCTAAGAGGTGAAATAAGACATCAAAACTATGAAAGACTAGAATCGATAGAGCCAACGTTTGTTTAAAGATCTCCCCATTAGAAACATATAGGTCAGTGTTTGGGTTTACTATAAAATGTGCTTCTATGTCAATAATTCGAAAAGCAACACTGAACAAAAAACAGTGAGGTACAGCAAGAAATAAATCAGTGTGTGTTTTTGTGCCATTCTGAAAAACGACACCGCCGAAAGAGAGAAATAGCAAAGCTGTA